TGGAACAGCCTATGCAGAGCCAGCCACACGTTCCGACATTAGACTCGAGTCTCCAGGTTTCACACCACTTATCCATTTTTATCAATTCTTGTTGTATGAAGCTCATAGTTGTACCGATATCAGTATTTGTGCATGCCTAGGTCACCTTTAAGTCATCTGCATACAATATTGGTTTACCTGTACTAAAGCATTTACAGATACTGTTTATGTATATAATGAAAAGAAGGGGGCCAATACACTCCCCTGGATGACACCACTGCTGATTGGTCTAGGTCTGGAGGTCATCGAGTGAACTTCTGTTGTCTGATTTCTGTCACAGAGAAATGATTTTATCCAGTTGTGGAGGGGGTTGCGTATCACTAGTGAGCATAGCCTGCTGACTAGCAGACTATGTGGAACTCTGTCGAAGGCTTTCCTAATATCGAAATAGAGGATAATAACTAGTTCTCTCCTATCTCTTCTATAGTTGACTTCGTTGAAAAGTCTATGTGGCAAGTGATGCAAGATCCTTTCTGGAGGAATCCGTGTTGTGACTGGCTGATGAGTTTATGTTTGAGAAAGTAGTCTGACATTTGGTCTTTGATTACTTTCTCCATGATCCGTGATATGACAGGTGTTATACTGATAGGCCTATAATTGCATGCACTAGTTTTGAACTCTGATTTATGCTTAGGTAACATATACCTGTTTTTCCGAATTTCACAGTAGCTCCTAGTCACTAGTGAGAGGGTAAATATTCTCAGCAGTAATACTGTTATATCCGTATCACCGTTTTTGTATATGACAGATGGTATATCATCTTTCTCACAACTACCGTTAGCTTTTATTGTCTTTACCGCTGATGCTATATTTGGTATATCAAAGTTGATTTCATCTAACTTGAAGTTATTTTCGCAAGTTATGTCAAGAATTGGCGATAGATGCGTTTTGATGTCATTAGAGAACCACTGGCTAGGGAGTTCACTAATAATCCGCGGATCATCTTAAATTATACCTTCATGTTCCAAGTGGCTAATATTGTTGTCTTCACCCCTCTTCAGTCGTTTATGCAAGATCTTGCAGAGTTCCTGAGTAAGCATTTTCATGAAAGATATTGATGTGCAGCATAATGTATGATTGAGACAGGCTCAAAGCAGTGCAATGTTACAACTACACTTATCGCAAAACATCTCGGAGCTTAACATGAAAAAGGAGATACGGTGGTGCATGATGGTGTTGGTCGCAAGTGTGAATCGCTCCTATGTGTGGGATAGCAACATGCATTTTCGGTAGCTCGAGAATTAAACATGAGTTTAGATCGTCAATGTAAAGATGACACCATGAAGAAAACAATAATGACTGCACAGATCCGAATTTCAAAAAAATGCTTTTGCTACTAACATCTACAAGCCTGCCCAGCTTCTTGTCAAGATGCTTCACTACGTGCCCCACACAAATACGCCAAACATCTTACAGGTCAGCAAATCCTACAGCTTCTAATCTTTGAAGCCACTCCTCTCTGAACTGTCTCTTATATACTTCGCGATAATCCTTCCATCTGATTAATATTATACTCTATCGTATCTCAACTACGTAGGCCTCTATAAACGTAAATCTTACTCTTTTTTCATATAAGTTGCTCGCCTAATGTCTGGTTGCTCTGATGAAAGCAACAACAACGAAACCAATGTTTGAGAATAACTATATTTTCATCGAAGATCTCATATTCACCATGGCAAGATCAGTATGGTTGGCATTATACATTGCAATGTTTACTATCATTCCAAGTACTCTATAGCTCCTTCTTGTATATATATGTTTTGAAAATACTTTCCATGATGGATTATCCATAATTGCATTTTCTACCATTTTGCAGTTTTCCAGGACATTTTTCTCTTCCTAATATAGCGTTCAATCACGTAGGGGCATAACACCTGCCCACACATACGTTTCTCATCGGTTGGCCATACCTATCAGCAGGCAACGGAACGAAGTTTAGATTGGAGCATAATCTTTAGGATGGCCTTAGTGAATAGTTTACAAGTTCCAATATCCGATATATCCAATATCGCTTTTACGAGCTAGTATAAACCAATTCGATTTCTTTGTGCTACTCTCTTGATTGTGAGGTATAGGTTCTTGATTTTCGGTAAGCTTCTGCGTAGCTCGTCCCTCCACTCGACTGTCGTTGCTCTGGTTGACTCCTAAAGGAGTAGTGCTGGGATTAATTATATGTTGTTTGTTGTATGCGAAAGTGTTGAGACTTTGTTACTACTGTGAATGGAGTTGATCCTTCCACCAGTTAGTCCCCGATATCGTCGTCATAAGAAAAGATATAATAATGATCGATAAAATGAGTGTAGCTTATTCTGACTAAAAGACAGAAAAAGAAATAAAGAAAACGTAAAACCAGACTGCTAATTAAATTCGAAGTTGATATATATAATCTCAGTAACAATAATAATAAGTGTAGTGGTTGGAGTTGTCAGGAGAGTGAGACGGGAGAGAATGTAAAGAAGTAAAACGGCGAATTTACTTGTCTACCCCCAATGGTGCATGGGACTTTAAGGAAACAGGCCATTTGGACGCAGTCCTTGTGTCGCTGCATGATTGTCCAGCTCTCGCTCAAAGGTGTCTCAGATATTATATATGAATTAAAACACCAGACTAAATAGTATACACGAACGAGCGAAAAGCAATCGAAAAACTACCAAAAGACAGTGACATTTACATCGTAGTCAGCTATAACAGAATAGAACGCCAAAAATGGACGAAACGCGATCATCGATTTCGAAAATGACTTTCCTACAAGGATATTCTTTCAAATCACTGACCGATGGCTCGTGATACTGTAGCCGAATAGTGGTGTTTTTCAAACCTTTATTTTCGAAACACGGCAGAGTGCAAGTGAAGTGGGAAACTTAGTCCAACACAAGTAAACAGTATTCATAATTCAACAGGTAAAGTGAGCCCTACAAATCATAGGGAAAAATATAGTTCACACTTGGTTACTCGTACCATCATTCTGAGTTCATCAATCACGCATTAAACCTGAGTGTCGACAGCATACTGTGTTGTAGAAGCTCTAAAATTGCATATCACACTTTGACTTTGTATGTAGGAAGGGAAGGCAGTGCGATCGCCTGTTTCGAAACATTTGATTGACTTTAGGCAATCAACTAATCCGACAATGGTTTAAAGGTTGCTCAACCAAATGGAGCAGATCTGTATGACATCCTAGTTCTACAACTACTCAAGACAACAGACACACAAACATTATTCGTGAAGCCAGCCGTTTGTGAACAACGGGATTTCGCACAATGCTCAAGGCACTGCTTTTGTTAGTAATATGCTACTCTACATCAGCCATACCAAATTAAATGTGCCTAATTACCTGTTCTGTTTCAGTACACTGCCTTACCTGTAATTACTGATACTAAAACACAAGACATAAAGACTCAATGAGCAGTATATGTGAATGCCACTGAGAGTTAGGAATATTTGCGTCAAAGATTTTGGAACTTATTTGGCTGGTTTGACTAAACTACAGGCTTTTGGAATGTAGGCGTTACCAAGACAACAGATGAGTGCGAAGTGGAGAAAGAGGCTACTCATATGTGTGCACGTTCAGTGAAAATATATGACATTTCATCAAGAACTCGTGGGCAGACTAGTAGTCAGCTTAGTTGAGACTAGGTTCATTCAGTTTCAGCGATTTATTCTATTCGAGTCCTAGTTCCATTTCGTTGTCATTGAAGGGATACTTTAAATTCATGAGTTCCATTGGCTGTGGAATGAAAGCGACTGGTGAGACGAGGAAATATTGGCACTAGTTTATTCATTTTGTCAAGTTGACCTGTGTCGAAATTATTATTATAATTATTACAATTGGTGATAGTCGTATTGGTAGCAATGTTGTCGGTTATCATTAGTACTAGTCACAACACACACACTCACGCATGCACACATCGAATACTGACGAAACTGAAAGTGTGTGCAACAAACTGACATGCGAGCGACCATAAGACATGCACTATTACTTGTTGATTAGACTTGTGTTCTATTCTCTCTTGAATGACGACTTAAATATCGGATGAATATCAGATCACACATAGTCAAATACTTGCGAGGAACAATGGACTTGTTCTAGAAGTCATTTAACCTCAGCATTTGCATTGGGACTGATGGTTCAATACATGTGTAAACACTGAGCACTGTAGTAGCATGTTTTTTCGAAAGAAAGAAGTTTCTAAGTTGTTTAGTTATAACTGATATGAAAATGGGCAATAGATTGTGTTCGAAAGGTAATCCTGTCAGTTATAATACCCTTTCATTGTTTGACATATTTAATATACAAATCGATATCGAACTGAAACTCTCCTGATTGTACAAATAACTGCGAACTTCGAAATGGCACAATTTCTGCACAAGCGCCAGGAGCTCAGTACAAACGCAACAAAGTATCACAGAATACCTACTGTGTGAAGTGGAAACCCTGGAAGCGACGATTACGTCATGAAGAAAGTCAAAAAGGTGAAATCGCAAATTCATCTTCAACTTCTGTTTCCACCAAGCAAGCCTAACCGTACGCCTATGAAACTAGTTCACGTAGGCATGTTATACGCTTACAGAAACTAATTTCACTTATGCTCGTTCAATATTCGCCATCGTATTATTGGATATCGCTTTGCGTTTGTCATGTGCATATATATTTTAAGCAGTTATGCACTAATTGCGTTCGTCTCACGCTTTTAGAAATTCAATTTCGTTGACAGTACATCTTTTCAAGCTTTCACTTTTGCTTCTTTACACAACGTTGTTTGTCTTCGACCGAGTACACAGTTAGCACATAGTAGAACGTGAAAACGTGGAAGTACTATGGTATCATGATCGGAATCATCATAAGTGTACCATGCTGTTTCCCCGAAAACAAGATTCATTGATGACATACACATTTTGTGTGTTAGAAAGGTAGACGTGATGTCCATGCGGAGATGGATGATGACAGTGAGAAAACTCCATTGAAAAGTAAGATGTATTTTATTTGTTAGAGACTACATTACAAGAAGTGGGTACATCAAATGAAAAGTGAGTGGTACATTATCATCATCAATATGATTCCCATATTAATAGAGTAACAAAAGTTCAATACTACTCATAATGATGATAATCTTTATCAAATTCATCCCCATCATCTGCATCATAATTAATTCTCATTAGGATTGACGTGGATGGAACGTGTGTATCTTTTGGCGTTTCCAAGTATTTTGTAACCAGGAATGATGAACTTGGCTGGACACAAGATTTGATACTCAATTTGCCCACGAAGTAATTTCTTATCTTTCACATACTCATCAGGTTTAAATTTCTCTAGATGGCTAGCGTATTCTGATGGACAGTTGACGAGTGATGATGCTTCATTGAAACAGAATACCAATTCGTGTAAGTAAACACTCCTAACCTACAGGATGCGAAATGGTGAACAAGAAAGACAATTGTGTTAATTAGGTAGTTGAAAAAGCGATGATTCGTCAATCGAAATGTGTCTCCAACACACACCTTCAGAGAAGTTCAAGATAGTTAAGACCTGTATACTTTGAATGCTGTTAGAAGCTACTGACGTGAATTCTGGTTGTGGTTGGCGAAATCAAGAGATTCGCGAATCCGATGGAAACACACTCATTCAACAATCTGAAAAGCATATGTTATTTATCACTAGATGTAATAGATCGCAATTATAGTGACATGATGAAATATTTGAAAATATGTGTGCATAGGAAAGACATAACCCACCTTACTCCGTGCACAGATCAACTTGGGTTGTACACCGAATATTTTCAACAGTTTGTTTTCCATTTTTGCAGTCTACATGGACAGAGTGGATGAATGTTGATTGTGAATCAGTGTGATTATTCAATGTAGATTACTCTTAATTAGAATGAATTTGTCTGATGGACAAATTGAATGTCAACTTACCGAGTGAACCTTCTTCTGTAATAATCTATGGAGCTTTTTAACGTTTCTAAAATGAAGGGAAATGTGTGTTATTGGTCGAATGTGAAAGATCACATCAAGAAATGTGTTGGTGCGTCAGTATTGTCTCGATGTAGAATGCAGACACAGAAACTACTTGATACATTCCTCGCCCCAGTAGTTCCAGCAATGAATGGAATCTGTATCAAAACACCGTCTCATCTATCCTGATCCTGATATTACCATACTGTTTATAACTTCAACACAGTATGTCCCACGAATCACTGACTCCATCAGCATAAATCAACTTTCCTTGTCCAGTCCAGTCCAGTCCTGTCCCTAGTTAGATCAGTCCACAACTGACTGCAACATACAGTACACATGGTAATGAAGCTGAGTATGGACACTGTGATTTTCGAGTGTGAGATCACTGTGAGGATGCACACTTTGTGTCATGAGGAAAGGTAAATGGATGTGAGCTGGCGTGAATGCAGCTTCACAATCCACACAATTAAATGATTACTATAACTCGAACAGTAATAATAATATTTAATAAACACATTTAGAAAGGAACCTCTGTCAACGTACTTTGGCGTCATGAGTTTTTTGTAGAGATTAATGCTGTGATTGAGGTAGAGAGTTAAACTGGATCCAGATTCATCCATAACTGCACAAAATCCATAAGTATAGTAAACCCCGGAGCTGAAATATGAGATTATTTTGAGAAAAATAATCAGAATGCACGAGAACGGCTTCAGTATTGGGAAATCTTATCGCTGGTAGATTGTCAACACCACCACCATCTACAAAAAAACAACAACTAACCAACAGGCTGACACACACGCACACAAACATGGTGTTCATCGACACTTTCGTCAACCATCCACACATCCCCACACTAACTGATTTCACTTCTCCGGAAGTGGGATGTCGAAGTGTAGGTGTGTCGAAAAGGCAATAACAAATCCCTCAGATGAATCACTATAAGCGAACAATCGCCAACACACACACGCACTGATTTGCTCTGATTACTGAAAAACCACAGTAAAGTTCATGATATGCATAGTTGTGTGAAAGACAATAGCAAAACTGAGAGGTGACTCACTGTGCAAAAGGTCCATGAGTTGGATTAGTCCAATAAGTATTCAGATCAGGTATTTTACTCTGAAGATGAAGAGGAAAGTCGAGAGAAAATTAAAGTGGAATGGTTAAATGGCGATCAGTGTGTGCTATGCCAGCTGCTCTTTCACAAGTCCCGTCAGTGGTGCAAGTTATGCAAGTGAATGACATGGTGAAATGTTGTTATGTGCGAAGAAGTAATATTTTGAAGACACCTGCATAAAATGTCCGATTTGTCACTCACAATATCCTCGTCGGAGAAGTTTAGACGACGTGTGCATGCGTCATCAGTCCAGTTGAAGTGAGGTGATGTTCTGAAATTGTGAAATAACTCAGTATTACCATAAAAGATGTAGCAAATAATATTGATACACTGAAATCATCCTCGGGACAGAATCATCACTACAGTCACACATCACTAAGCGAGCATATGTGAAAGTGTAATTCGAACAAGTGTCTACCTGAATAACATGATATCATGCTATAACATCTTCAATCAGTTATCTCAGCTTTGTCAGAATTTACTCACAGAAAACTCTTCGACATCCGATCATTATATAAATTTTCTAATGTATACGAAGTGTGCCCTACCATATAGATAATTTGAGAGAATTGATTGTGATGATTTTTTTGCATGAACTTTACAGACCACCGTGTAATTATTCAGAAGCTTCATTGCAGTGCAGCCAGTCACATATCCACTCACATTCATCTGTGTTCTTGTGATGGAGTGATTCGCCTTGCATAAATCTGACTGTCTGAATGATGGCACCAACTGTGCACATTGGTAAAGATCAAATGTGCATTATCATCATGAAACAGGTCGACTGGTGTCAACTGATTCATCTTATAAGTTCCCATGACTATCTTCTCTACTCTATCCATGTTCACAACCTTCAGTGAAGTACTGATATATTTAAGAGAATACATACAACTCATTCATCGCATTTAGGGGAGCACCACACCTCGGTGATGTCGGAGAATGTGTCAATGTACAAAAGACAAATACACAGTAATCTCACCTCAATCTCGAAATATCCATAGTTATATTCTTCGGGACAGTACACTGAAAAGCAAATTGAAATTTTTATTGATCGATTGAAATTAATTTTACTGATGAGTACTTTCGACGTCAATCTGATATGTGTGTGTGTGTGTTTGTAATGATTGTACAACATGTGGTTATGTAGTTCGATATTGATTTGTCATGATACACCTCACTGACTGACGCTGATTGATGTTTCAGATATATGGTTATGGTTACAAAGAAGAAGTTGTGTATCAAGCAGCATTCAACGAGTATTACTCATTCACCAGGTGAATGGAATGGACGTGAAACATGCACATTGCAGGTTCCTTCCACATCGATCTATGTCTGAATTCAGATATATGTATGTGTGATGTTGGCTGGGGAACTCCAACCTCCCCTATCGATGAATGGACGCACTAACATTCATCGATTGAGCCTGATAGCTCACTGACACGAAAGCGTGTGACCGCGAATGTGTATGAATGCAAAGGGATATCAAGTGACTGAACAGGTTGGTTTTGTGATGTCTGTGACGCTAACAAACACTAGGATGACACGTCCACGTGAGGTTGGATAGTCGATGAATCGAAATGATGAAATGATAATAATAATAACAACAGACATGATCACCACAAAATTATGTGCATGAGTAAACGTACATATCTGTTGAGACAGTGTGTTGGAAGCCAACGTAAATGAAGCATGTATGTCTTGTCGACATTGGATTCAGCGAGTAATGTGTGGATACACACGAGAAGACTGAAAATGAAGAGTCTGTAAGGAAAGGAAGAGAATGAGAGAGACATGCACATTTTAATGCCTAATGCAACGCTCGGAATACAAACGAAACAATAACTCTGCATGTGCAGTGACATACAAGGAGATGGTGCATGCCTCATTTATGAATACGAGAAATCACATTGATCATGGTAACTCACTGCATGATGTAGACGTTCAAATCTGAGAGAAGAATAAACAGTCACCATTGGGTATCGTAATGAGAATAAAATCATTGAGAGAAATTATTCCCGTGCAGACTGTGGCGATTCCTTGATGAATTCATGTTACATGGCTTTTCATGTGTGCATGTGAGTGGATTCATGTGCAAGTGGATGGATTGTAAATGTGGAATCTCCTTTGCCTCAGATACTACAACAGACCGACTTGTACACAGTCAATGTTTCAGCGTGGTACATTATCGAGTATTTCATCAATTGTTCGAGTCTGTTGTGTGTGCTTTCAATGGATGTTTTGAGTTGAGTGCATATCACACACATTTCCATGTTGAATTGACTGCGCTTACATTCATTGATCTGTGAGCATATTGTGAGTAAACATCACAGGGAAGATCACATTTCAACAGTGTGTATTCTCATTGTCAACACCACTTGACAGTGAAACGACCACACATGCATCTCACCGACTATCTCTGACCATCAAGGAGAATACAGTGAGGGACAAATCTCCTTCCTCAAATAAGAAGAAATTACATGATTGATTATCAGTGTCGTGTAGTTCACGTATAGAATAATGCATCATGATAACAGCAAATAGTATTGAAAACGTCGTGGACTTACCTATTCTCAGATGTGGTCTACCTGTCTGCTCAAAACGATGAGTTGTCTTTGTCAATAGCCAGTCTATTTATACCTGATTCATCTGAAGTCTCTCAAATACAATTGGTGTTTTACAAATTAATTAAGCACATGGACAATGAAGATAAGAAATAATGTGAAGTGCAGTACATTTTAATGGAATGTGAGATGAGGTGAAGTGAAGTGAAAGTATGCGGTCAGGATGATTTTGTTTATCATTCTGTTTCAGAATATTGGCAAAATAATAATAATTTGCTTTATTCCAGAAACAGTACAAGTGGTACAGTGTGGTACTTTCAGCACATATCTCCAATATTTGCATCTAATTTTACAAACATTTAAAAGGAGTATTAAACAAAAAAATCTGAAGACACCAACAGCAAAATAAAACAGGATAAACACAAAATAATTATAAATGCGATAAAGTACCAAGAAGTAGAAAGGAAAATAAACATCACATAATAATAACTCAGTATTGTGTAGTGGAAGCTATGATATGATTATGCATGGTGACTGGAAAGCTATAGTCATACAAGAAGTTATGAAATGATATTTAAGAATGTTTATCGCCAAGATGGTCAGTTAATTTGATTGAAACAACTCTAAACAATCATAAAATAACATTTCAGGGTTGTTGTTTTGTTTTTTATTTTCAGGTCTAATGCACTGTTTGTAGTGGTATTGTGAGTAATCCTGCATAATACAAAATGTTAAGGAGGTGACTATGGCGTTCACAACCAATGATTGTCAGTTTAATGTTGCCGAAAAGTATAGAAAATAAGAAAAAACAACCACAAAACTAATAATTACATGATGGTTAATGACAGGACAATTTTGTAATACTCATAGTGCTAATAGAGTCGGAACCAGTGGATACACAATAGAAGGAATATAGTAAAGTACAAAAAAGGAAGCCAATGTTAATATTTTAGGTAGCTAAGTATGTTTGAGAAGGAGTTCACTATAGAATACAAAATAAGAGAGAAATAAAAGAGCCTAAAATTATGTTATTAACAACAAAGCAAGTCATAGGTTTCACGCTTAACATTGTCTCTGTCACTTAGAACACGGGCGAAGTATGGTATCGTTGAGTTCCTGTACTTGGTTGTACGAGCATAGATTATTTTATACTGATTTCTGGTTCTACTTGATGAGATACAAGGCGAGAGTTGGGAATAGAGGGGGTGTTGGGGGTCGGAGAGTATGGTTTTAGACCATTTTTCGCATGTATTCAGATGCCTTTCAACTAATGTAGTGACGAGCTGACTGAGTTTTACACCACTAGTCCTACTAACTACCTTCAACATCCTTCTCAGGATGGTATAGTCCTTTTTCAGTAGACCAGGAAAGACTAACGGGGAGCAGTAAAGTAGAATAGGTAAGATACAAGAGTTGACAAATTGTGAAAGTAGAGGTTGGATGATTCCAGATTGTCTAAGTTTCTTAATGTAGTAGGTAAGACAGAACACTTTCTTAGAAATCATTAGGATATGAGATGTCCAAGTAAGGTTGGAAGATAGAACTAGACCGAGGTATTTTGCATTAGACTTAGTTTCAATTTTTGTTCCCTCAATGCAACAGTCTTCATGAGAACTTACTAGTGTTTGTAGATCTTGTTTATGCCTAAGGGAGAAGTCAATAGTCTGGCATTTTGAGGGATTCAGCATGAGACCATTTAGTTTGAACCACTCACTGATGTCCGACAGGAAGCTATTTGATTTGA